CGCGCCCGGCTCCCGGAGCGGCCGAACCCTCCCCGGGCTCCTCCCTGCACCGATCCCCACCGGGAACCCGGGAATGAAAATAAAACCAGCAGCGGGAATGAAAATAAAACCAGCAGCGGGAATGAAAATAAAACCAGCAGCGGGATCATTGAGCTGGGCAGGGAGCGGCCCCAGGATCCCTCTGGATGTGCCGGGACACGGGGCCGGGGCCGGGCTCCGCTCCCGCAGGTGCTCGCGGCTCATTTGCATAAGGGATGAAGGCAGCAATTAAATTCCCTCATCATCTCGGCGGGCTGGGAAAAGAGCTCCCCCCGCTCCTGCGTCTGTCACTGCTGGGAAGAGGCTCTGGAGAGGCGAAATTCCCACCCGGAGGTGAAATTCCCACCCGGAGGTGAAATTCCCACCCGGAGGTGAAAATCCCACCCCCGCTTCCACAGGGGAAACTGAGGCACTGCTGAGCGGGCAGGCAATGGAGAACATCCCGGCCTGGAGTGGGCTGGGAGGAGCCCAAAAATCCACTGGATCTCCTCCGGGCTGCACAGTGGGATTAGAGGGTTGTTTTAGGGCCCTTCCAGTGGTAATATTCTATTCTATTCTATTCTATTCTATTCTATTCTATTCTATTCTATTCTATTCTATTCTATTCATCTCTATTCATCTCTATTCATCTCTATTCATCTCTATTCTATTCATCTCTATTCTATTTACCTCTATTTTATTTCTAGTTCATGTCTATTTTATTTCTATTTTTTCTATATTTTTTCTCTTTTTTCCTATTTTATTTCTAATTTATTTCTATTTCATCTTTATTTCATCTCTATTCCGTTCTACTCATCCCTCTTCCATTCTACCTTTATCTCCTTCTACTCCAGCCGAGCACCGAGTCAATTAAAACAAATCCCCACCCCCAAACGAAAACCAAACGCAGCGAAAAGCGCAGCCCTGAGCCGAGGAAGATAAAAAATCTCTCGGCCGGCTCGTCCCCGCTGACACTCCGCTGCCGGCAGCGGAATTCCCGATCCATCAGCACCAACCCCGGGATCAATGGGCCCCAAAGCCGGCCCGGGGAGGAGGAGCGGCCCCGGCGCGGGGGGATCGATCGATCATCGATATCGCCGCTGCCGCTGCCGGGCGTGGCCCGTGCCTCCTCCTGCCCGTCCCCCGCCGCCGGGATTTTCTCCCCGGGGCTGCCCGGGCCCCGCTTTCTCTCCGGGCTTTGTTTTTGCCAGCCCGGCTCGGCTTTCCCGGCCGCTCCTCCAGGCCGGCCTTATAAGGGCCCGCGGAGCAGGGAGAGATTCATCCCCAGTCCCCCCTGCTGCCGGCAGGGTGATGGATCGCGCTGCGAAACACGGGAAGAAAGGGAAAAAGGGAAGGGGGGAGGCCGGGAGCTGCCGGAGCGGGGCAGGGACCGGGATGGAGGCAGGAACCGCCGGCCTGGAAAGCGGGAGACAATCCCAAAGGAGAGCGGGACCCCCGAGGGCACGGGAGCCGCGTTTGGGGGGCTTGGGGAGCGCTGGGGAGCTCGGGGTGCTCGGGGCTTTGGGGGGACAGCCCCATCCCTGTGGGAATGACAGCCCCGTTTCCATGGGAAAAACAGCCCCATTTCCATGGAATAAATGACCCCATCCCTGTGGGAATGACAGCCCCGTTTCCATGGGAAAAACAGCCCCATTTCCATGGAATAACTGACCCCATCCCTGTGGGAATGACAGCCCCATTTCCATGGAATAACTGACCCCATCCCTGTGGGAATAACAGCCCCATTTCCATGGGAATAACCGACCCCATCCTATAGGAATAACAGCCCCATTTCCATGGGATTACTGACCCCATCCCTGTGGGACTAACAGCCCCATTTCCATGGGAAAAACAGCCCCATTTCCATGGGAATAACAGCCCCATTTCCATGGAATAACAGCCCCATCCCAACAGAAATAACTGACCCCATTCCTGTAGGAATAACAGCCCCAGCCCTGTGGGAATAACAGACCCCATTTGTATGGGATAACTGATCCCATCCTATAGGAATAACTGTCCCCATCCGTGTAGAAATAACAGCCCCATTTCCATGGGAATAACCGACTCCATCCTATAGGAATAACAGCCCCATTTCCATGGAATAACTCACCCCATCCTATAGGAATAACAGCCCCATTTCCATGGGATTACTGACCCCATGGGGAATAACAGCCCCATTTCCATGGGAATAACTCACCCCATCCTATAGGAATAACAGCCCCATTTCCAGGGAATAACTGGGCCCCACTTCCATGAAAAACTGGGCCCCATTTCCATGGAATAACTGGCCCCGTTCCTACAGGAATAACTTCCGAGCTGTGTTATTAATTCATCCTCATTTCTGTCTCGCCCTCACCGCAGAATCGGCTGTGTCGGGAAGGGAATTTCACCCGGTTTGGAGTAAAAGCCGTAAAACCTCCGCAGGCCCCGAGTGTTTAAGCCGGGCTCGCTCTGGGGGCTCTTTCGGAGCCCCCCGGCGTGGAGGGAGAGGGGAAACATCCCCTGGAGCCCCCCGGGCGATCTGGAGGAGCCCGAAGGGAGATAACGAGGGGGTGAAAGCGCTGCGGGGCCGGGAGGGGCTGCACGCGATGTTTCACCCAGTTCTAATTGCCCTTTCGCTAATTAATCCCGCCCTTTCCGCGCTCCCTCCAGCATGGGAACCTCTGCATGCGTGACCCCGTCAGCCTGAGGGGAGCTCGGGAGCCGCCGGGAAAATCCTGTAAAATCCATGGAAGGATTTTTTTGTGATTAAAAGCGGGGCCGAGCCCTCCCTGAGCTGCTCCCAGTGCACAGACCCAGCCCTGGCACCGCCCCGCCGTGCCCTGCTGGCACCGGGAGCCGATTTTGGGTCCCCCCCGATGGCCACGAGGCTTTTGGGGACAGTGATCAGCCCCACCCCAGAGCCAGTGGCAGGTGGGTGGATTTTGGGGCGGCTTTAGGGGTTGCAAGAGTTCAATTTCCCTCCCACAAAAAAACCCCGGAGCCTTTGGGTTTAATTCCAGGAGGTGACACCAGAACTTCGGGAGGTTCTTTGTCACCCACGGAGCCGGGAAAGCGCCACAGCTGTTTTGGGGACGGGAAAAAGGAGGCGCGTGTGATCCGGTGAAGAATTCCGCGAGTCCCTTCTCCAGAGGAGCCGCGGGGGCTGGGATGGGAGCGGGAATTTTCCCTCCCAGCCCGGCGCAGATGGAGCCCGGCTGGGCGGGACGGGCTCTGCCAGGGCTGCGGCTTTTCCCGGGATGCTCCCCAGACTCCCACCGGGACACGGCGGCGGCGGGGACGGGGCTCGGGGACCGCGGGCCACGAGCTCGGTGTCCCCGGCACGGGCAGAACGAGGAGAAGGAGGAGGGGGAGGAGGGATTTATCCAAGGGCCCGAGGAGAACATCTGGATTTGCCACTTGCTGCGGTGAATTAATTGCGGGATCCCGCGGCTGCTCCCTGCTGTGCCAGCCCTGCCTCGCGTCTGCTCCCGGGAATGTCCCCAAGGGTGGTGTCCCTTTGTCCCCTGCAGCCGGGGGAAGCTCGGTCACCCCTTCCCATTCCACTGGGGCTGCGGTGTCATCGGTGATCCCAGAAAAAACCCTTAAAACGCTGGGATTATGGCTGGCATCCCAATCCTGGGTGGGCATCCCAATCTTGGGTGGGCATCCCAGCCCCCGGGTGGGCATCCCAGCCCCCGGGCACCTCCCAGCCCGTTCCCACCTGGCCCCAGCGTGGCTTTTTTGGCTGCGAACGCTTCTCCATGTGGCTCGCAGATGTTCCGCCCGTGACGAGAACAAACGGCAGCTTTGGCTCGGCTTTAATCCCACGGAAAAGCTGCGAGAGAGGGAATTCCGTGAAGCCCTTCCCGGGCTGAGCCAGCGGCAGCAGCCGGCCCCGAGCACCTCGGAGGCTCCAGAATTGGCTTTTCCAGAGGAAATCCAGCGGAGCGGCGCTTTCCCACCGTGACCCGCGGGATTTCGGGGCTCCGGTGGCTGCAGGGCTGGGAACTGCTGGATTTTGGGAGCCCCAAAAGCACCTGCAGAGCCCGGAGCGGGGAGGAAACACCTGGAGCTGGACGCACACGAGGCCAAATCCGCTGTGCCGTGGCCACCGCGGCCGCAGGAGCCAGCCCGGGGCAGCGACAGCGAGGCGGGGCCGCTCCCGGTGGCACCGGTGCCCGGTGCCGCGGTTGGGTGGCCCCGCGGAGCCGTGCCCGGGGCTGACGCAGCGCTGCGGGGTGGGGAAGGAGCCCTGGCATTGCCAGCTGCGGGCACGGCGGGCCCGGCGAGGGCAGGAGGCCAGGCAGAGTCACCCTGGGGCGCCGGGACAAAGGAGGGCGGCACGCGGGGACCTTGCAGGGCCCACGGGGAGCCCAGATGGGATTTCTTTGTGTGGAGGGCAGAAATACAAAGATTTGATTCAGTCCCCGCCGCGTGCCCCCCTCGGGGGCCTCTGGGTGACACCGCCCGGCCGGGACGGGCCCGGGGTGTCCCCGGGCCGGGGATTTTGTCCCTTGTCCCCAGCAGCCGGGGCAGGTCTGGTCACCCCATCCCGCCCCTGGGGCCGCGATGGCAGCGGTGACGCCACCCCGGGGCCGGGGACAGACAGACGGACCGGGGGAGGAGGGGGTGCCGAGGGGGCTGGAGGACGGGCAGACGGCACAGGAGGCAAAGCCGTGGATGGGCTGAAGAGCCCCGGCTGGGCTGGGAGCGAGCGCGCCCCAAAAACGCTTCGTGGGCGGGCGGCGGGGCCCGGGGGGCCCGGGGGAACCGGGGGGGCCCGGGGGAACCGGGCTTTGTGTGGCGGCGGCGGAGGGTGCGGGCTCGGCCGCTCCGTGATGCTCCGGGGGCGGGGAGGAGGAGGAGGAGGAGGGGGAGGAGGAGGAGGGACTTGCAGCTCTTTTCTGGCCGCCGCCGCGGCGGAGAGCGGCAGAGCCAGGGCAGCCCGGCCGCGCTCCGGCTTCCGGGGCTGTCACCGGCCCCGCTCCGCTGCCCCCGCCATGGCCGGGCTCCTGCCGCTGCTGCTGCTCCTGCTGCCGGCGGTGAGTGCGGGGAGCGGCGCCCGGGGCAGCCCCGACAGCCCCGGCGGGGAGGGGATGCGGCGTCCCGGGGGCACCGGGAGCGTCCCCGAGGCACCGGGGGATGGACAGCCCCGAGGCACCGGGCGGGGGTGGGATGGGGAGGCCCGGAGGCTTCACACGGGGGTGTCCGGAGGGTCCCGGGGACCCCGGGGTGGGAGCCCCGCGGGTGAGGGGCAGCGGACAGCACAGGCAGGAGCGGGGTCCCCGCCGTGCGGGGCTGGAGGATCCCGGGGGCACCGGAGAGCCCCGGGGAGGCGAGCAGAGCTCTTTGGGGTGCGGTGGGAGGGGGCGTGGGGAGCTGGGTGGGGATGGGGTCCCGCAGCCCCTCCGGTGCCGCTGCCCCGAGCTCTGCCACTGCAAAGAGTGACGGAGCCCCAGCCCGGGGGGAGCCCCCCCAGTGCCTTCATCACCTGCCCCGCACGCACCCCCCGCAACCTCTCGCAGACTTTCCCGGCTCCCAGGTGCCCCACAGCTGAGGCTGAGAGCCTTTTCCTCCCGGCAGAGCCCTCGCCGTGTGCCCCAGACAAAAAACTTCAGGGCAGGCTGGGGTGGGGTGGCCAGCAGAAAGGGGAGTGCCCGGAGTGGGGCCGGGGGGCTCCGAGCCCGCAGCTGGGGCAGGAGCGGGGCTGGTTTTGGGGCAGGATTTGCCGGGGGTCCCAGGGGGGCCGTCAGGCAGCCGGACACCCCTCGGGCAGGATATTAAAGGCGGAGTTGAGCGGCTCCGTGCAGGAGCGGAGCGGGGCTGGCAGCGCCGTGCCGGGGGGGTCCTTTCCCCCACAGCCCCCCGGGATCGGGATCGGGATGGCCAAAGCGCCCCGGGATAGCGGGACAGCGGCCGGGGGGGCCCGGAGCTGTCCCAGCCAGATGGATCCCAACCATTCCCCCCCCAGGGCATCGCCCTCTCGCCCCTCCCCGGCTGCTGCAGCGGGGCCGGGCTCTGATGTCCCCAAATCGCCGCTTCCCTGCGCCGGGGTCACCGCGGGGA